GGAAGGGAAACAATTATTTGAATTTACATCCACAACTGTACAAGTATTTTAAATACAGATACAGTTAACAAGAAGGAATATTATTCAAGATAATAAAGTTTTGGAATAAAATAGAATGTAAGAAATGTGACATGTAGTCCAGTAAAATAGTCTAAAGTACATTCAAAATATGTTTATATTTATTATAATTTGAAAGTAAGTTTTGTCACAATATGTATGACTACACATGACAAATTTCTCTTTTGGAGATGGAATCTCACTGTCGCCCAGGCTGGAGTGTAGTGGCATGATCTTGGCTCACTGCAACCTCTGCCTCTTGGGTTCAAGCAATTCTGCTTCAGCCTCCTGAGTAGCTGGGATTACAGGCACCTCATTATGGCCAGCTAATTTTTTTTTTTTTTTTTTTGGAGGGGGGGTTGCCCTTTTTACCCAGGCTGGAGGGCAAAGGGGGGATCTCCGGTCACTGCAACCTCTGCCTCCCAGGTTCAGGCAATTCTCCTGCCTCAGCCTCCTCAGTAGCTGGGATTACAGGCACGCGCCACCATGCCCAGCTAATTTTTTGTATTTTTAGTAGAGACGGGGTTTCACCATGTTGACCAGGATGGTCTCGATCTCTTGACCTTGTGATCCGCCCGCCTTTGCCTCCCAAACTGCTGGGATTACAGGCTTGAGCCACCGCGCCCGGCCCCCACTTTTTTTTTTTTTGAGACGGGAGTTTCGCTCGTTACCCAGGCTGGAGTGCAATGGCGCGATCTCAGCTCACCGCAACCTCAGCCTCCCGGGTTCAAGCAATTCTCCTGCCTCAGCCTCCCGAGTAGCTGGGAATACAGGCGTGCACCACCATGCCCAGCTAATTTTTTGTATTTTTGGTAGAGATGGGGTTTCACCATGTTGACCAGGATGGTCTCGATCTCTTGACCTCGTGATCCACCCGCCTTGGCCTCTCAAAGTGCTGGGATTATAGGCGTGAGCCACCACGCCTAGCCCGGCCAGCTAATTTTTGTATTTTTAGTAGAGATGGGATTTCACTACGTGGGCCAGGCTGATCTCAAACTCCTGACCTCAGGCGATCCACCCACCTCAACCTCCCAAAGTGCTGAGAGGACAGGCATGAGCCACCGCACCCAGCCACATGACTAATTTTTACTAAACTGCTAATCATTTGGAAGTGATTTTGATATATTGGGTCTCCTATCAACAAATTTAAAGAAACAGAAGATAGTGTCCTGAAGAACCAATAAATTGCATAGTATAATAAAAGGAAATGGTTACTAGTTGATAACAGAGCAAATCCCACTCAGATTGCGGGAATGTGAGTGGCTACCAAGCTTACATGAATCACCAAGATGGTGAACAAATAGGAATGGTTAATGATTATAGTTGCCTTGCCAGAAGAAGAAAAGTTTAAGGCATGATACAATAATTGCATGTAAGAAAATAACTGGGCCGGGTACGGTGGCTCATGCTTGTAATCCCAGCACTTTGGGAGGCCGAGGCAGGCGAATCATGAAGTTAGGAGTTCGAGACCAGCCTGGCCAACACAGTGAAACCCCGTCTCTACTAAAAATACAAAAATTAGCTGGGCATGGTGGTGGGTGCCTGTAATCCCAGCTACTCAGGAGGCTGAGGCAGGAGAATCGCTTGAAAACCCTGGAGGCGGAGGTTGCAGTGAGCCGAGATCGCACCAGAATGTCTCAAAAACAACAACAACAACAAAAACAGAATATACCTTTTTTTTTTTTGAGACGGAGTTTCACTCATGTTACCCAGGCTGGAGTGCAATGGCGTGACCTCGGCTCACTGCAACTTCTGCCTCCTGGGTTCAGGCAATTCTCCTGCCTCAGCCTCCTCAGTAGCTGGGACTACAGGCACGCGCCACCATGCCCAGCTAATTTTTTGTAGTTTTAGTAGAGACGGGGTTTCACCATGTTGACCAGGATGGTCTTGATCTCTTGACCTTGTGATCCACCCGCCTCGGCCTCCCAAAGTGCTGGGATTACAGGCTTGAGCCACCGCGCCCGGCCTGGAATATAACTTATTAATCAAACCTGCTTAGTAAGGAAGTTCTAATTGACAGTGAATTTTTCACTTGGATGGGAGAGAAAATGGTGACCAATATCTTTGATGTATTAGTTTGGTGGGAGGGGGTAGTTCAGGGGAAAAAAAAAGACACTGGGGAAAGAACTATGGGCCCAATAGGAAATTGATACTTGGAATCTTTTTGGTCACTAAATAAGCTAGATTGCATCAGAGGCTCTAGCAAAGACAATAATTTCTCAGACGTTTATTGTAGGTGAAGATGGGAGAAGTGCCTGAGCCCAGGGGTTCAACACCAGCCTGGGCAACATAGGCTCTATAAAAAAACTTTTAAAAATTGGCCAAGTGCGGTGGGTTACGCCTGTAATCCCAGCACTTTCGGAGGTTGAGGCAGGCAGAGCAAGAGGTCAGGAGTTCGAGATCAGCTTGGCCAACGTGGTGAAACCCAGTCTCTACTAAAAATACAAAAATAAGCCGGAGGCCAGCGCAGTAGCTCATGCCTATAATCCCAGCACTTTGGGAGGCTGAGGCAAGCGGATCACTTGAAGTCAGGAGTTTGAGACTAGCCTGGCCAACATGGTGAAACCCCATCTCTACTAAAAATACAAAAATTAGCCAGGCGTGGTGGGGGGCACCTGTAATCCCAGCTACTTGGGAGGCTGAGGCACAAGAATTGCTTGAACCTGGGAGGCAGAGGTTGCTCAGTGGGCTGGGAGCAGTCCACTGCACTCCAGCCTGGGCAATAGAATGAGATCTGTTTTAAAAAAAAACCAAAAAACAAAAATAAATTGGGCATGGTGGTGCATGCCTGTAATCCTAGCTACTCAAGAGGCTGAGGCAGGAGAATTGCTTGAATCCAAGAGGTAGAGGTTGCAGTGAGCCTAGATCGTGCCACTGCACTCCAGCCTGGGCAATGAGAGCAAGACTCTGTATCAAAAAACAAAAAGTTAACATTCGGTGAAAGGATGAGAACCAGGTAGTCTATCAACTTCTTAAAATTAATGGGGCGTGGTGGCTCAAACCTGTAGTTCCAGCTGTTCAGGAGGCTGAGGCAGGAGGATTGATCGAGGGAGGTTGAGGCTGCAGTGAGCTGTGATCCTGCCACTGAACCCCGGACTGGATGACAGAGTGAGACCCTGCCTCAATCAATAAATAAATCAGTCAGTCAGTCATCCAGTCTGTGGTATTCTGTTTTAACAGCAGCAACAAAGACAACTAGCCATGGCCACTGTGTTATATACATGCCTCTATTAGAAGATGTTATGACATTACTATAATTGATGCCTAAATATCTTTTAGTATACTGTTAGCTTCTTTAGGATATGAGCTAAATTATATTTGTTTTATAGTCTTGGGTAAATAACGTACTTGACACACAGGAGATACTCTGCAAATGTTTAATAGATGTTAGAGTTGAATTTCAGGCTTTGTAATGTCACAGAAACAGGAGTCAGAAGAGCTGATCCAAACTCAAGATCTGCCCCTACCTTGCCTCTTATTCTTTCTGGCCTCCATTTCCACAATTATAAAATTGTGGATCTCAGCTCACTGCATCCTCTGCCTCCTGGCTTCAAGCAATTCAGCAGAAGAAATTTCTAGGCAGCAAAGCATTCAAGATGTGGCCTGGCTGATGCTAGCGGCCTACAATCAGATACAAAGAAATAATTTAAAGTTGTAAATTACATTTAAAAGGGAAGCACAGCATATAAGTTTGGAAAATTAACAGGCTAGTCATGTGGCACAGAAGGAAAAAGCACTTTTAGGAGAGGAATACAAGCAGGCTACAGGAATATAGTTGCCCATACTGGACTCAAACTCATTGGTTCAAGCAATCCTTGTTCCTTAGCCTCCCAAGTAGCCGGGGTTATAGGCTTGTGCCATCATGCTCAACTATTCACCTTATATTGCTGTCCAAAATGTTTTTATTTGAGGCAACCTGGGATAGTAAAAGTACTTCTAATAATTAAACACTCTTGCCATTAGTATCTAGTTGTGTAACCATAAAGTTATTTAATATTTCTTGAGTCTCAATACCTACCACTAGCAGAGATTTAGTGAAGATGAGCCATAATGTATTTAACACTTTAATGGCACTTATTTAGAAGGTCCTCAGGAAATTGTATTATTCTTCCAAGATCTTTTTTTTTTTTCTTTAAAAGACGGGGTTTCACCATGTTGGTCAGGCTGGTCTTGAACTCCCAGTCTCAAGTGATCCACCCACCTTGGCCTCCTAAGTGCTTGGATTACAGGCGTGAGCTACCACGCCCAGCCTCTTCCAAGATCTTTCTAAATTGCCTTATTCACCTAAAGAGACTTGGCCTTGAGCCTTTGTAGACTTTCTCATTGGTGACTCCTTCATTGCTTAGAATGTCATGATTCCACCAGCCAGGTTATTCTCATCTACATGTATTTTTCTTACATCTGAGGACTCAGTCTGTTTTTCTCTAGCAATTATCTTCAAGGTTTGTGCTTTCAATAACCTTATTATTTGGCATTATGACACTAATATGTGCCCATGAGACAGACTGAGCACTACTTATCCCAGACAAGGTATTTTTTTTTTTTTTTTTTGAGATGGAGTTTCGCTCTCGTTACCCAGGCTGGAGTGCAATGGCGTGATCTCGGCTCACCGCAGCCTCCGCCTCCTGGGTTCAGGCAATTCTCCTGCCTCAGCCTCCTGAGTAGCTGGGATTACAGGCACGTGCCACCATGCCCAGCTGATTTTTTGTATTTTTAGTAGAGATGGGGTTTCACCATGTTGACCAGGATGGTCTCAATCTCTTGACCTTGTGATCCACCTGCCTCGGCCTCCCAAAGTGCTGGGATTACAGGCGTGAGCCACCGCGCCCGGCCCCAGACAAGGTATTTTTTTTAGAGATTATGATAGTTCACAAGCTGCCCATCAGGTAGCCCAAGGATCCTGGATCAACTTAGCCATATATCGTCTCTCTCTTTTTTTTTATACAGTAAAATCCCTCAAGAACTTTATTATACAGGTGAACTTTGATCATCAGGATGCGCTTATCGGTAGGATTTCTGGTAGCGAGCATGAGCACCAGGGCCTCCAAACTTTTTGGATTCACAGCGCCGAGGATCAGCTACCAGCAGGGTCCGATCGTACTGGATGAGGATGTCTTTGATCTCCTTCTTGGAAGCCTCATTCACATATTTCTGGTAATAGGCCATCAGGGCTTTGGAGATGGACTGACGGATAGCATAAATCTGGGCCATGTGACCACCACCCTTCACATGGACCCGGATTTCTACACCAGCAAATCGCTCCTTGCCGAGTAGCAGAACTGGCTCCAGCAGCTTGTATTGGAGGGTATGCGGCTCGATCATCTCCAGGGGCCGCCCGTTCACCTTGATAAGGTCATTGCCGTGTTTGCAGTGCGCAACAGCTGTAGCTGTCTTCTTGCATCCAAAAACCTGCACAGACTGCAGCGGACCCTTGGACGGCATGGCTGTGAACGTGGACTAGAGAAACTCCATATATCGTCTTTTCTAACTGAATGCAGTATTCTCTTACCCACCATATGAGGTCTACACATATTCACTAAGAGCATTAAGTAAAATAAAAAACTGGGACTAGGTCTCCTAAAGGTAAGCACAGTGCTAAGGGGTAAGAGATGGGAACTTTGTTTTAAGTTCAAACACTTTAAGCAAGAATTTATACAATTTCAGGCAACTGGGCATTTTAAGCAAAGTACACAACTTCATGATAGATCACTGAGGAGGATAAAATAATCAGTTCTAAAAGCTGGTACAGATGACAAATTTTGTGTAATTTTAAGTTTTAAATTTTTTTTGTAGAGACAGGATCTTGCTATGTTTCCATGCTGGTCTTAAGCTCCTGGCCTCAACTGATCCTCCTGCCCTGAACCCCCAAAATGCTGGGCTTACAGATGTGAACCACTGCACCTGCTGTTTTTAAAGACATTGTGACATCAGGCTGGCCAAACCTGTCTTCACCAAACCCTGACTCTACCAAAAATACAAAATTAGCCAGGTGTGGTGGCACATGCCTATAGAGAGGATCGTCTGAACCCAGGAGGCGGAGGCTGCAGTGAAATGAGATTGTGCCACTACACTCCAGCCTGGGCAAAAAAGAGTGAAACTCCGTCTCGGAAAAAAAAAAAAAAAAAAAAAAATCAAAAATTTACCCGGTGTGATGGTGTGTGTTTGTAATCCCAGCTACTGGGGAGGCTGAGGCAAGAGAATCAATTGAACCAGGGAGGTGGAGGTTGCAGTGAGCTAAGATCGTGCCACTGCACTCCAGCCTGGGTAACAGAGCAAGACTCCATCTCAAAAAAAAAAAAAAAAAGGAAAAGGGTATCCTATACTTGGGCTGAGTCTTTAGTGAAAACAGAAAATAATAACAGAAAAAAAAAATTGTGAACATAGTTTTTGTTTGTTTGTTTGTTTCGAGACAAAGTATTGCTCTGTTTCCCAGGTTGGAATGCAGTGGTGCAATCAAGGGTCACTGCAGCCTCAAACTTCCCGGGCTCAGGTGATCCTTCCACTTCAGCCTATAGGCATGCACCACCACACCCAGCTAATTTTTGTAATTTTTTGTAGAGATGGGGTTTCGCTACGTTGCCCAGACTGGTCTGCAACTTCTGGGCTCAAGCCACCCTCAAAACTTGGACTTCCAAAGTGCTGGGATTACAGGTGTGAGCCACCACACCTGTTCTTAGATTTAAAAAAAAAAGAAAACAAAAACCAACAAACTTTATCTACCTTTAATTATCGTTTAAATTAACTAAGATTTTTATTGCCTTTTTTTTTTTTTTTTAAATTCTCAGTGACCCTTATTCTGATTCCTTTCTGTTTTGACAATTAAAAATTATGAAAGCTGGTAGTTTTGTCTCCTATTACTGGAATAATTTAGTTGATTTAACACTACAGATGGTGTTAGGATAATGAATACGGAACATCAATGGGAATCTATTGTATCTCTTGAGACCTCCTTCATTCCAAAAGTGTGCAGACATGTATAACTTACACACACAAAAAAGGCCACATAAATCACCATGACATTATAAAAGCAGACTGAAGAGAAAATAGAAAAATGTGTTAACCATTAAACTCAATACTAAGAAGTAACAACCTATGGAATCCGTATTAATGAGAGGAAATGACATGTTGCAGTCAAGAACAATGGGCTTTGGAGTGAGTAAGAAGTATGTTTGAGTCTGTGTCTTTTGCTGTGTGGCCTTGGGCAAGCTATTTAATATACCCAAGCTTCAGTCTTCAGCTGTAAAATGAGATAACAATACCATTTCATAGGGTGGTAGCAAGAACAAAAGATAATGCATGTAAAACCAGAGTGCTTAGCACACATAATAAAGCTAAATAATCATTAGCCATTGTTATTATAATTATTAATTATAATTATCCCAGATACATATCTTAGCATAACTTTTCCTATTTACCCAGCTGGACAAAGTACTTAAATCTAGCACTAGAAAAAAGTAGGCTTTAACCGAAACTCTTTTCACTTCATCCATTTTATAGACATAAACGATTTAAAAAGATAAACAGCTCATACTTTTTTTTTTTTTTTTTTTTCTGAGACGGAGTTTCACTCATGTTACCCAGGCTGGAGTGCAATGGCCCGATCTCGGCTCACTGCAACCTCCGCCTCCTGGGTTCAGGCAATTCTCCTGCCTCAGCCTCCTCAGTAGCTGGGATTACAGGCATGCACCACCATGCCCAGCTAATTTTTTGTATTTTTAGTAGAGACGGGGTTTCACCATGTTGGCCAGGATGGTCTTGATCTCTTGACCTCGTGATCCACCCGCCTCGGTCTCCCAAAGTGCTGGGATTACAGGCTTGAGCCACCGCGCCCGGCAAACAGCTCATACTTTAACAATTTCTTTATATTTGTCGCAAAGGTTATCAATGCTTTTAAGAGCATCTGCATGAAGTTTTACTATTTAACATTACACACAATGCATGCTTTTGAAACTGCAAAGTTGATAATATCATTTTCAAATAGGTAGAGCATAACCTTAAATATTACATGATTCAGGTTTTTTTGTTTTTTTTTTTTTTTAACAAAGAAATAAACCTGTAAGGGATCACTCCACTATAGTTGTCCATTAATTATTTGTGGCAAAACTGGGCTCCTAGGAGATGCTTCAGCATATGGATGGTTCCTCGACTGCCTGGGCACCCTCTGTGACAGCTTTGACACATTTGGCCATTGTCTGTGAGGCTCTGCTAATTGAATCTGAAAGATATTAAGAAAATGTCATTTTGTTAATACAACTTTTTAAAAAGCACATAGTGAAACTTTAATGCTGCACATATTTAGGAGGAAAAAAGATTATAAGGCCCTATGCAAGTATATATAATTATATGTAGCCAAGAGTCCAATGACAAACCCCTTACTGGCCAAATGCTTTATTATTTATTTTTTTGAGATGGAGTCTTACTCTTGTTGCCCAGGTTGGAGTGCAATGGCAAAATCTAGATTCAATGAAACCTCCTCTTCCCAGGTTCAAGCAATTCTCCTGCCTCAGCCCCCTGAGTAGCTGAGATTATAGGCATGCGCCACCTCGACCGGCTAATTTTGTATTTTTAGTAGAGCCGGGATTTCTCCATGTTGGTCAGGCTGGTCTTGAACTCCTGACCTCAGGTGATCCGCCCGCCTTGGCCTCCCAAAGTGCTGGGATTATAGGTGTGAGCCATCATGCCTGGCCCAAATGCTTTCAATTAATAATCAAGAAAGCCGGGCACGGTGGCTCAAGCCTGTAATCCCAGCACTTTGGGAGGCTGAGGCGGGTGGATCACGAGGTCAAGAGATCGAGACCATCCTGGTCAACATGGTAAAACCCCGTCTCTACTAAAAATACAAAAAATTAGCTGGGCATGGTGGTGCGTGCCTGTAATCCCAGCTACTCAGGAGGCTGAGGCAGTAGAATTGCCTGAACCCAGGAGGTGGAGGTTGTGGTGAGCCGAGATCGCGCCATTGCACTCTAGCCTGGGTAACAAGAGTGAAACTCCGTCTCAAAAAAAAAAAAAAAAATTCCTAACAACTTACATCAGAAGCACTGTTTAACATGTTTCACATTTAAATGTTTTGATTCTTCTACCTATAATTCTCAGAAAAACCTTCAGTTATTTGTCACTTTGGATATTCTCCCTAAATTGCCATACAGTAACTTTCCTTACAACAATAAAATTTTATATTTAAAGTCTATTGTTTGGATTTTTAAACTTTGCTTACATTTCAGAAACAACAAAAAAATTTAGAGGGTAATCAGAAAATAAGCTAATGTTAGCTTCAATGTTTGAAAACCGTCAAAGATTAAGAATTGCAAACACGGCCGGGTGCGGTGGCTCAATCCTGTAATCCCAGCACTTTGGGAGGCCGAGGCGGGTGGATCACGAGGTCAAGAGATCGAGACCATCCTGGTCAACACGGTGAAACCCCATCTCTACTAAAAAAAACAAAAAATTAGCTGGGTATGGTGGCACATGCCTGTAATCCCAGCTACTGAGGAGGCTGAGGCAGGAGAATTGCCTGAACCCAGGAGGCGGAGGTTGCGGTGAGCCGAGATCGGGCCATTGCACTCCAGCCTGGGTAACAAGAGCGAAACTCTGTCTCAAAAAAAAAAAAAAAAAAAAAAAGAATTGCAAACACTACCAATCGCAAATTGGAATTATAATACCAAATGAGGTGTTCTGATTACTTCTTACCTCTCATATTTGGCAGTCATGTTGACAATTACTTACCTGTCATGTAAAAGTCTTTTATAGTTAGCTGAGGTGGAACAAGTGGATCACCAAGAAGCTGCTGATTCACCAGCTGCACAAAAAAGAAGAGATCAACAATAATATGGAAAACTAGTACTGTTAAAGCAGTAGATAAGCCACTATGAAAACTGCTCATAGGCGAGCTGTTACCTTTGAGAGCTCATTTGCTTGCTGGAAGTAATTAGCCCCTTCGATATCATCATATCGAACAAGATTAGGAGAGACTTCTTCCAATCTGTTCCTTACTTGATCCAGAGTATCATATGGAAGAGTTATCCCCGCAATCTACATGTCAGGTTCCCAAAAACAACAAAAAATGGCACTACTGAAAAATCTATTGGTGTCCACTAGTAGACATACATTTATGAAGAAACAGTTAAGCAGAGAACACAAATATCAAAAATTCTAATTCATAAACAGCTGTCAGTACATTAGTGACTCTATGAAATGATTAAAGAGACAATACTATGCTAAATCCAAATGTTTCTGCTAACAATACACAAAGTTTACAATGTATCATTATTTTAAAAGTCAGGATGCTTACTTTTACATCAATAAAGAGCTAACAGACACATTTTCAGGCAAAAGACAAGTCAACAATTTTCAACAATAAAAGCACCAATTTCAGGCCTAGTGTAGTGGCTCACACCTGTAATCCCAGCACTTTGGGAGAAAGAGGTGGGAAAATCGCTTGAGGGCAGGAATTGGAGACCAGCCTGGCCAACATGGTGAAACCCCATCTCTACTAAAAATACAAACATTAGCTGTGCTTAGTGATACATGCCTGTAATCCTACCTACTTGGGAGGCTGAGGCGTGAGAACTGCTTGAGCCTGGGAGATGAAGGTTGCAGTAAACTGAGATAATTTCACTGCACTCCAGCCTGGGCAACAGAGGGAAACTCTGTCTCAAAAATAAATAAATAAAATAATAAAAGCACCAATTTCAAATTAATTAATTAATTAATTCGAGAGTCTCACTCTGTCACCAGGCTGGAGCACAGTGGCTCGATCTCTGCTTACTAGAACCTCTGCCTCCCAGGTTCAATCGATTCTCCTGCCTCAGCCTCCCTAGTAGCTGGGATTACAGGTGTACATCACCACACCCAATTAATTTTTGTATTTTTAGTCGAGATGGGGTTTCACTGTGTTGGCCAGGATGTCTTGCTCTCTTGACCTCA